TAGCTTGGCATCCCATAATGAGTGATTCAGAGAAATCTTTATTCTAGGACTCATTTAATTCAATACTAAGGTATGACACTTCTAAGGACTCCACCCAATGCGTGTGTGTTAAGCATTCTCACCACTCCAACTGGTAAGAATGTGAACTTTTCTTAGCCTTCTGTGAATTCCAGTGGGTTTCCTTTTGAGAATGTACAGATTAGTGCTATACCAAAGACTTGAGGGAATGCCTCTGCAGTTCTCTGAAGCTGTCTTTCGGTGCATCGCCCTTATCTCCAATACTCTACCCACAAATTCTAGCTGCCTATATTTTCTTAAAGTGATCTATCACTTCAGTGCAGCAAGATCACGAGGCTCAGCTTGGGTTTCCCCTCCCTACAGTATGATCTGTAAACTGCCTTCAGAAAGAAAATTAGTATAATCACAAACCTTACCTCATTTGTTCACCTTCTGTTAGGGTTTATGATCTGGGACTGTCTATTGTTCAATATCTGAAAATAGTTGTTCTATATATTATGCTTGATTTTCTAGTTATTTATAATGGGAAGGCAATTCTGTAGCAGCTTATTCTTTTGGGAGAAAGTGGAAGTCTTAATACATTTTAATAACAAGTCAGTCTTCATGTATTTGTCTGCATTCATCAGGAGAGAAAACTGGTTTTCAAAACCAAAGGTGTTGATATTCAGGTACTTTTCTTGACCACTTCTTCAGAACCAAGTTTATACATACTATAAGCATCCAGAAGCTCGGATCCAGCTTGGTGTGCTTAGTTTTTTCTTCCTACCTGCCAAAACAGTCCCTCAACTTGGATACTTTTTCACAGCTCTACTCCCTCCTGTCCAAAATTCTAAACTCTGCTGACTCTTAAATGTCTCCAGTTCCTGTCCAGTGCCACATTCCTGGTCTTCATTTTTCAGGTCATCTCTTTCCATCTGATGTACCATTTGACCTATTTTCCTAGCCTAAGCCCTTTCCTTACCTCTTGTGTCAGATGGCATGCATTATATTACAAGTGACATAAAATCTAACTCAAATTAGTTTTCATAAAATAGAGAATTCATTGACTCTGTTGACTGCAAGTATGCTGGTTAATCAGGATTTTAAGTTATTTGATTCAGTGGCTAAAAGATGTCCTCACCTTTTTTCCCAGCTTTATTGAGGTATAATTAACAAATAATAATCGTATATATTTAAGGTATACAAACAACGTGATGGGTTAATACACGTATCCATTGTGAAATGATTACCACCATCAAGCTAATTAACACATGACCTCATATAGTTACCTTTTGTTTTTGTTTTTGTTTTTGTTTTTGATATGGTGAGAACACTTAAGACTTACTCTCATTCTTTGCTTTCTCTTTCATAATATCAACATATCCCAAAGCCAACTTCACTCCTAGTAGCACTTCCAGGCTTCTTATCCTAACCAAACAGTACAGAAGATGAGAAAGATAAAGAGAGATTCTTTCTTAGATGTCGCCAGAAAATATTTTTTCCAGTATCTTTGGCCCAAATCAAACCAGATATCACCTCTGAACCAAAATCTTGGCCAGGTAATAAGATGATATTCCTACATATGCAGACCCTTCCCTAGAGACAAGGGTAAACTCAAGCTCCCGAAACACATAGGCTGAGTCAAAGAGGAATAGATACTCAAATGAAAATCAAACAGTGATCAAGAGACGGGGGAATGGATGTTGAGGAAGCAACCCCACTGTCTACTATACCATGCATTTTGGTTTTCGGATCTCCCTTGGCTCCATGTTCTGAAACTCAATGGCCATAGTTTGACCCAACCCCTCAGTTATTCAGGAGGGGAGTTTTAGTATAAATCTTGGAAATAAATTTATTTTGTGACTTTATTTCTTTACATGAAGCTATATATTTCTGTAGTGTTTTATATATCCTCACTGAGCTGAAATAATTTCAAATACTTAAACTAGTAGTTAAGTATTTTACCCTACTCCTACTAGGTGTGTGACCTTGGATAATTTATTTCTCTTCTTTGTACCTCCCTTTCCTCATCTGTAAGACAGGGGTAATAATTGTACTTATTTATGAAATTTCAGAATAAAATAAGCCAAAATATACTAATATACATAAAACACTTGAAACATGTGAATTTAGGAAATATTCAATAAATGTTCATTATTTATTTGTTATTTTATATTATTTTTAGTAGTAGTAATACTAGTATTGGTATTTGAATATATGACAATGTACAGATCCATTCATGATGTGATTTAATTAAAAACAATTATTTTTCCTATATTAATCCTTTAGGCATATCATCCTTTTATCATCTCAAAGTGTATACATAATACTGTTGCAAAGTATATATATCCACACCAACTCTGTATTCCTAGAAACTTGTCATTTAAATTATATTGACATGGACAATACACAGAAGAGCCTTTGGTTAAACAAAATTGTGAAAACATTTCACAAATGCTTAGTCATACAAACAACCTATAACAATTACTGAAAATTAATTTTA